ACAAGACAAACAACAACAACAGCCGCGAGACAAACAACAACAATAGCCAAGAGACAAACAACAACAACAATAGCCGAGAGACAAACAACAATAGCTGAGAGACAAACAACAACAGCCGCTGCAAGACAAACAACAACAATAGCCGCTGCAAGACAAACAACAACAGCCGAGAGACAAACAACAACAACAGCTGAGAGACAAACAACAACAACAGCCGAGAGACAAACAACAACAACAGCCGCGAGACAAACAACAACACAAACAACAACAAGAGCTGCGAGACAAACAACAAAAAGAGCCGCGAGACAAACAACAACAGCTGAAAGACAGACAACAGCAGCTCACAACAAAAACTAATGTTTACACTCAGCAGATTAACTCTAGTACATTTTACCATCTGCTTGATGTACTGCAAGTTTCACTGCAAACGATGATAGTTTTTATAATCTGCGTCCCTCTGAGGGATGGGATTATTTATTCTGGTTGTTCCTGACCCAACATTTGTCTCAGATTATTTCAGATTATTGGGCCGTTACCCGTCTCGTCCAGGCGCATGATGTCGTCCCGCAGGTTGGTGCCTCCGGTGGTCGCCATGACTTTGACTCCGCCCAGGTGTTTGCTGATCTGGATGCAGATCTGACTCACCTGCAGCGCCAGCTCACGGGTCGGCACCATGACCATGGCTGCAGCGGGACAAACAGAGCAGGTTAGAGAGGAGCCGGAGGTCCGATCACCACTGGGCCCGGACCCCCGCCTCACCCTGTATGTGGTCCTTCTTCAGGTCTATCCTCTCCAGCAGCGGGATGAGATACGCTCCGCTCTTCCCCGTCCCGTTCTTGGCCCGAGCCAGGATGTCCCGTCCCGACAGCGCGATGGGGATGCTCTCCTCCTGAGGAGGAACCAGCAGACCGTCAGGTTCAGCACAAACCTCCCCGAGCTCATTAGACACTTCATGTTTTTAATGTTGGACCTCAGTTTGAAGAAACAGGTTCTTTTCTGACCAGACTGACGAGCTAAAGACTAGTCTGACCAGAACCAAAAGCTCCAGAACCAAACGGATCGTTGTCTTAAAGACCTCCGACTGCCTGCACACCCTGGCCTTAATGTTGTTTGTGACTCGTGAAACTTAGAATTACTTCAAACATGAGACGCTCATTACATTTTTCACCTAAAGACATCTCCGTTATTTTACTGGTGCAATGCATTCTGGGACGATGGCGTACATCGATGGTTGTAGTGGAGACGAAACACGAGGAGTCGAGCTAAAAGTGATAACGTCTGGAAGCTGAGCAGTTCAAACCAAAGAGCCGAACAACAAAATATCTAAACTTCAAACTGAACAGAGCAACACGGCCGCTTCATTTACCCAGAATGCTTTGCAGCATAAATGGTGTGTCTGTGTGTCATTAAGATTTTAAAAGTTAGAAAAACGTCACATTTTTACAGCTGAAGTTACCATTAATGAAATAAGCTCAGCTGATTCGTGCAAACACCGTTTAACGAACTGTTCATTCTGGATTATTCAGGCAGAAATATGTAAACATCCCGCAGGAAGCGCTCCGAGCTGCGCAGGAAGGAAGCGCTCTGAGCTGCGCAGGAAGGAAGCGC